ATGTTTTGGCATGTCAAAATAATAAGATGCAGCTCTTTTGCCTTTGAAAGTTAAATGAAGGGTGTTTCTCACATACGTGTTTTAATTTGGGATTATTGAATGTTCACCTGAACCCTGCCCAAATGTCTGCTGTCAGCTGCTGTAGATTATTTTTTTTCTCCTTCTCTATTACGTCTCTAAACGCCAGCGTGACTTTCATGCACATGGCTAGTGCTCTGTAAACTTATAGACACATTTTTCCTTGGATTGGGGCTAACTTTGATATGCTTTTGTTCTTTTATATGCCAGTTATCTGCAAAAAAAAAAAAAAAGACATGGTTCAAGAGTAATCATAGGAAATACTCATTTAGCCTTTTTTCATATTTATACATAGCTAAAGAAGGGGCCACACAAATAACTTCCTTACCACTGGAGAATCAGTCATATCAATTAATACGCTTATTTCGGTTTTTAATTTTCATGACGTAAAAAACAGAGTTTATGGAACAATCCATGTGCAGGTGTTTTCAGCACAGTAATTACAGACTTTAAAAGATTGTAAGACAAAAACCGTAAGGTAAACTGATTAGAATGAAGCCAAATATACGTATCCCAGGACAATGTTGCAGGATCAAAACATGCTGGAGTCCATCTTCAGGGAACTTCTCTCTAGCAGAGTGTGTGGTATTTATATGGTGCCTGTTTTATGTGGCTTTTTAGATGTTGATTGGGATGTGGTGGCGGCAGGATTTTAAGTCATTGGCTTTCATTTGCTTATGCTGCCCAGCCCTCACCTTTTAAGTACTTGATAAGCTGGTGGTAAATCAGCACTCCCGTTGACTGACTAGGGACCTGTTTCCAGGGCCACACTCACCATCAAACAAGGAAATATAGTGAAAACTGAAGGAATCAAGATGCCCCATGAAAATAACATTAAGAGTCTGGATGGAGATAATTATTACAAATACCTTGGTATCCTTCAAGTTGACAATATCAAGCACATTGAAGTCAAGAAAAAGATTAGAGGTGAATACATCAAGAGAGTGAAGATCTTAAAGTCCAAAGTCAATGGAAGAAATATCATCAAGGCAATCAACACCTGGGCAATTCCAGTCATTAGATACACAGCAGGAATGGTGGACTGGACTCAAGCAGAACTCTTCATCTCTTGCAGTGACGTGGACAGACTCTACCTACCCAGGTGGGCACGGAATGTTGCAAGTACATCAGATGGTTGAAGAAGAAAAAGGGGCTTTGGAAAAATATCTGAAGGACAATGAAGAAGATGTACTGAAGTTATGGCTTACTGACTACTGGAAAGACCAAACTGGCTTACAAGAAAGACCAGATAACAGATAATCAGAGTTGGAAGGGACCTTGTAGGTCATCCAGTCCAACCCCCCACCCAAGCGGGAGACCCTACACCATTTCTGACAAATGGCGGTCCAATCTCTTCTCGAAAGTCTCAAGTGATGGCGCTCCCACAACTTCTGAGGGCAAGGGGTTCCATTGGTTGATTGTTCTCACTGTCAGAAAGTTTCTCCTTATTTCCAGGTTAAATCTCTCCTTGTTCAGTTTCCATCCATTATTCCTTGTCTGGCCAAAATAGCTTGACCCCTTACCTTTCTGTGGCAGCCCCTCAAACATTGGAAGACTGCTATCATGTCTCCCAATGAAGAACAGAATGGAGGCATAGGAAGACATGGCCAGTACATTAAAAAAATAGCAGGAGAAGCAAATAATAACAAGACCTGGCAAAGAAAGAGGCTGAGGGACTAACTCTGGCTGCACAGAACCAAGTCTTATGGACAAATGAATACAAAGCCAGAACTGAGAAGACAGCAACAGACAGTAAGTGCTACCTATGCAATGAAGCTGAGGAAACATTTGACCATCTGGTCAGTTGCTAGAAGAAGATTGCACAGACTGACTACAAGACTGCACCATTGGAAAACCCGAGGAACCAGGCTGAGAACAAATCACCCTGGAGAAATTTATCTAGGTGATTGCCAGGAGTTTGTGCTGACTTAATGGCACATTGTGATCATCATCATGAATAGGAAGCTCATTTGTGTGGGTGGGTCTCAAGTATTCTATATGTTTTCAAAATTATATTAAATAAAAGTTATTCACTTTACTTGTTGGGTTCAGTAAGTTCTATATAAGTTCAGTTTGTTCAATAAGTTCATTTTGATCACTGAAACTCCTTATTCAAACACAATGAGAAACGAACCCTTTTTTGATGATTGAATTTTACTCTTCTTTAAGCTTTAACTTACTTAGTTTTACTTCAACCAGTTAAGGGGGATGGATGCTTTCTCATAATAAGCCCCATCAGCTGCTCCAATAGTTATTTTTTTCTATTACTTACTGACTTTTGCATTCACTTCAACATGGGATACAGACGGGACTTCCCAGCTGTTTAAGTAAGATTTCTCCCTTTTATGATGATACACTAAAACTGCGGCTAACAATCTCAGAACAATCATGAGCACAGCACAGCAAAACCACTTATATAACAAATAGCTAGAGTCAAATTAAAACCTTTTCTTTAATTGTTGACCAAAGATTTGCATAATTACTGGTCTGAAGTTGATTTGACCAGAGTGTGGTCAATATGGCTTCAGGTAAAAAAAAAAAAAAAGGTGTGCTTTCATAGGGTTAGGATCATAAAATTGGATCAGGAGCCAGGTCCTTACTATAGTAGATTTTTGATAATACATTTCTGTTGAGTGTGAAACTGCTACTATTAAAAAAGAATCTTGGATAGGCATGTCATATAACCCCTGGTTTTGTAAGAGGTGGTTTCTCAGATTTACCAAATTTTCTCTTGCTCAGTTTATAAGGAATATTTTAAATAAAATAGCCCAGGTTTAAAAGAACATCCTCTTTTCCAGACTAAGATGTGTAATTTTTTTCAGGAAATGCATACTTTGTGACTGCAGTAAGAGTAAACAGTAATTTACCTCAGACCATGAGCATTCTAGGCTTTTAGCATGTAGTTGATTAGCTATCAGGCTGAAAAGGAAGTAGTAAAATGAGAGTACATTGATTAGTATCATTTTTTTTTTATTACAAGGGAACCGGTGAAGAACCTGGACCAAGAATGGGGAGACCCAGGTTCATGTCTATTCTTCTCTCTGAAACTCCTTGAGTTACTTAGGGACAATCATTGTCTCTCAGCTAACCTATTTCACAAAGTTCTGGGGATATAACAGAGACTCCATATAAATTACCGTCTGCTCTTGGGTGAAGAGCAAGTTACAAATCCAGCAAATTTACAAAATAAACTTATTTTTAAAAAACATACTAAAGACTGCAAAGAGTTGCAAATATTACCAACCAAACCTGCTAAGAACAGTGATCACAATCATATGATTTCAGCTAAATACACTTATAACCTTCCTGGAGACCCTAATAGTAATTATTATGATTAAAGATGAGCAAACTTACGTGTGTCTTCTCCCAATACACTTCTGTTACATATGAAGGTTTAACATCTCCAGGGGATACCAATATGCATGTATTCACATAATATAGGTGTACAAAAGAAGTTTTTTTATTCTTACATTGAAAAGTTCTTAAAATAGGACGCTGTAGGGCTGGCATTTTTAAGAACCTATCATTTAACACAAAACTAATAGAATGTATTATGATCATTAGCATCATGAAGCCTCATTGTTAGGACTGTTGATTCTAGTGATAACATGATGCTCCAGATCTTAAAGAAGACTAAGAAATATTCTGGCCTTACAATCCAGAGTTTGTAAGCCACTGAAAATCTAAAATCGAAAATCCAGGTATTTGAACAATAAATCTACCTAGATGGTAGCAAAGGGGGTCTAGAAGATTGGAATTTTATAGCCTGGTTTTGGTAGCTTTCCCAAGGCTCTCAAGCAGTGGTAGGATTCAATTTTTTTTACTACCAGTTCTGTGGGCGTGGCTTGGTGGGCGTGGCAAGGGAAGGAAAGTGTAAAATCTCCAGTCAGAGGTGGTATTTGCCGGTTCTCCAAAGTACTCAAAATTTACGCTACCGGTTCTCCAGAACTGGTCAGAACGTGCTGAATACCACCTCTGCTATCAAGCACCTTCCATAAACATTTCTTCCAAAAGGGATCTGGTAATAAACTTAGCTTCATAGACATAGCCAATCCTAAAGTTAAGACTACAACTTTAGAATATCTTTTGAAAAATTCTGTTTCAAAAGGGAAGAACAACTGACAGAAAGAGTAAATGTTTTGGAAACCCCTTCTAGAAATTCAGTCTAAAATTTCTTTGTGACTTCGGCATGAACAAAATGGAAATTTAACAATTTAAGAAAAGCCATACTTTCTATTTGTTTCCCCTTAGATACTTCAAAAATGTAATGAACTAAACCTTAATTAACAGGTGGGAGGGGGGAAGGAAATTAACTTAAACAAGTTTTGCAACTTAAACACATTTATTTTGAATTATTTCTGCATTTCTTTTCTTTTTTCAGAAAAAATCTGAATCTGTTTTCTAACAGGAAAAAAAAAAGATGAGTTACGTTGATGGCCTAATCTCCCTTGATATTTTAAAGGTCTTATAAAAATGTCATCACTTTAATAGTAGAAATTGTGAGATGAGTAATGTTTAAGTGGAGGGAGGGGGGAAACCTTTGGTTTTCCTCTGCTGTTCTGTGAGTGCACACATATGCAGATGAGCCTGTCAGGGAGTATCTCTCCTCCTACACCACTTTGTAGAGGAAGTTTGTTGATATATTACTGAAACTGATTCTTCAAAGCCTGCAAGGAAGGACAAAAAGGAAAGCAAGGAACACTCCCACACAAACACACATACACAAAACCACAGTGACCATTCAAAAGCTTGGACGTGCATTGATTTGTTCTACCAGAGAGTGGAACAGCAGCCTGAAGAACTTATGATGAAAGAGCACTGTAGGCCCTACAGCAGTGCCAGACCAAGTCGGATCAGCAATTCCACCATGGAAAGCCTGCCGTCACTCAAGCCTAACTACATGTCTGTGTGTTTGTTTGCAGAAGAATCTTATCAAAAATTAGCAATGGAAACTTTGGAGGAATTGGACTGGTGTTTAGACCAACTTGAAACTATTCAGACCTATCGATCTGTTAGTGAGATGGCATCCAATAAGGTAAGAGAGAAAAATTACATGCAAACACATGTATTTTAAGAACAAAGTGAAAAGTTGTGGATTTTTCTGCCTTCCCTTGCAAGGTCAGGTTGCTGACCTATTGTAAAAAAATTAAAGCAATATAAATGAATGAGTCCAAATTTTCAAAATCCTTACCAGAATGCTATTGTAGTTAATCAAGTTTTGCTGCTTTTAATGTTATAGAATTAAATATAACATGTGCTATAATGAATAAAAGCAGTTTAGAAAGCTGGAAAACAAATTCTAGCATATTACTGCAATGCTAACAGTAATTCTAGAAATATTTTAACATTATTTCTAGAATGTATACCAGCAGTAGCAATCATCAGCAAATCAACTGAAAAGAATGGTGTAGATAAAAAGTACAACTATCCTTATGAAGCTTTTGCTAGTTTTTTTTCCTCTTCAATAAATTATCATGACAATCTTTAGTTACCATGGATTGTATACATGGGGTTTGTTTTAATTTGTTATGTATTTTATTTCTATATATATATATATATTGCTTATGGTAGCAATTCGTATAAAATATTGCTTCATCAGTGTAAATATTTCTAAACTGTATAAGGAGGTATAATGAGAAGTTGATTTTTAGACTTGAGTTATCTAAAATATTTTATTTTTATTATAATTTAGTCTGTGTATATGTTTGCATTCTAAAGTGTTTATTTTTTTTTCTAAAGACAAATGCACTTACCTCTTTTCCATGTATTTAATATCTAAGAGTTGGACATTATTTAAAATTGAAACCAGTCCTTAGTTGGGTAGCAGCCAAACTTTTGGGTAACAAAAGGCCAATGTATTCCCTGATGGCATGAGTATCACCTCAACTATAATCTCAGGCATTTTTGAGAGAAAACATGGCTTGTGTCTGATTGAAGAACTTAATAAATTTTTGTGCAGTGTTAAAGCAAAGACTTCACACTCTGGTTTGATTAGTGAACAACATATATAACTTTTTTTCAGATGCTTTCAGTTCCCAATTTATTTAGAACCCTACTGTTAATTCTCTTTTATCAGTTTCATCCAAAGTATGCATTCATATATAAGTATAGTCTAGAAGTCATTTACAATGGCCATTAGGATGGTCACTAGGCTAGAGCCTTACGCAGATACTTTGTTTGCAGATACAGTTTGTTTCTATTATTAAGTAAATAATAATCAACTTCAATATGAGGGAGGTGATACAACTGTTCTCCATAGAGAAAAAAGGCTATTCAAGCAAATACTATCAATTTTTGAGTACAAATAAAATTAAAAATAGATTTTTTAAAAAACCCATATAAATAAAATTGCATAGTCCCAATTTTACTTTTCCTACATATATACTGTATATGAAATGAGATTACATTGCCCTTCTCATTTTGTCTCTACTTTGTCATGTTTATTCTGTGTTGCAATTTTTGAAAAACCATTTGAAAAGGTAATGCTTACAGCTGAAAATAAAGAGCAAATTGAACTTTTCAGAACCCAAGAAGCCTTTTGAAATATGCTGAGTTATTGTCAAATTTCCCACATCTGTGAAGTATCTGAATAATCTGTCTTCCTTCCGTCAAAGACTTCTGCACAGAAATTTGCAAATTGCAAAACAATCAAATGTTTTGAAAACAGGATGTTTCTAGCTCCCCATAGTAAAGAACAGAAAAACAGAAGAGAAAGGAAGGCAGCAAGTAGATCCTGCAGGATTCCAAGTGTGAGGGCTGTAAAAACAGTGACCTATCTTCCTGACCTCTGCTATTGCTAAGTTCCTGGCTCCGTGCCACTGAAGCCCAAACTACGTCATTTCAGAATGATAGTGGGCATGGCACAGCTGTTGTAAGTGTGACTCGAATTTCCTGTCTCCTTCCTGACAGACGTAGTTTTAAAAGTACAGCATTGCAAAAACAGGAGACAACAGAGGAAAGATTGGTTTTGAATCGCTTTTCAGAATTGCTTCCCAAAAAATGATTCTTCATATTGTTAAAAGCCAAGAGATCCTACATGAAAATATTTCAGGGTTTTTTCCTTTCTTTCAGTAAACAAGCTGGAAGGGTTTAAGTAAAACAATTACTTAGAAATACGACGAATTTATTCTCTGCTATGCAGGAGAGAAATTCAGAGAAACTTTTAAATAAAAGAATTGTGAAGATGCAAAAAACCAAACATCCTCAACAACCACAAATACAGCACATCAATACACGGGGTTGGACATTAAATCTTTTCAGTTCTATTCAATCACATGATATCAATTAGAAATTTGCTGTTGCTAGCCCTACAATTTCATGATGTTTTTCTGATATAGTTTCTACACTGCCAAAATTTCCAATCTCTAATTTGAATTAATATTCATTATGCTCATTTCTGAATCCTATCCATACTTAGTCATCTCTTACCATAGGTGTAGATCAAATAATAATTTATTTTATTCATTGGGCAGATAAATCTACTTTTGAGATAACCACGGTCTCTGTAAAAACAGACAGAGATTGAATGCATCCTCATGTTATAAGATTCTAGGTATTTCTAGATAATTAGTAAGCATTAATCTATATGATAACTATATTAAGGAATAATAATAGGTATTTGTGACTTGCAACTTTGTGATTATATAGCATGGCCTCTTAAATAGACAAAACAATGGACCAAATAATACTCCCAACATATTTATCTGTCTGCTAGTATGAACAGTTTGTAATTCCATGTTTTAATATGACTTTATATACAACTGAGATTGTTGTTGTTGTTAGTTGCGAAGTCGGGACTGACCCATCGCCACCCCATGAACAACGTTCCTCCAGGCCTTCCAGTCCTCTACCATCTTCTGGAGTCCATTTAAGCTCATGCCTACTGCTTCAGTGACTCCATCTAGCTACCTCATTCTCTGTCGTCCCCTTCTTCTATTGCCTTCAATTTTTCCCAGCATTAGGCCCTTCTCCAGTGAATCCTTCCTTCTCATTAGGTGGCCAAAGTATTTGAGATTAGTGAATTTAAAATATGTTCCTGTTAAACATTTTTTGTTATAAAATTAGGACCTCAATTTGCCAGGACAGCATATTTTTAGTTCTCCTGGACAATTTTTTTTATAATGTTGAAGGCTTTAATATCAGTTTGCTTTTACTTAGGTAATTATACTGCATATTATGTTTATGACTGAAGAATTTACAAAGCTTCTTTTTCCACACTTGAGTCTATCTATGGCATGACTGATGTAAGGGGAGCAACAGCAGTCACAGAATTGGATAGGCTGAGATTTTTGGAGTCACTCAAATGACCCCAAGGGAGATGCATCCTTCCATCACGTAGGCACTTTCCAAAATGTCTCATTATACCTCCTCTCCTTTGTTAGCAATGTCACATACTAGACCATTGTCCTCCTTATCTGTAAACTAAAATCTATTGATGTATACAAAACTTTCACTACACTCCTTTTAAAGAGTTTTCAGGCACATAGGACACTCACGTCTTGGTTTTAGGAGGCTAAATAAACCAAACATGAGTACTCTAATGTAAACTTTGGAGGTAATTCCTGGCTGTTTGCCCCTTGCCTATGTGCTTCATTGCACAATGTCCATATTGAGAAATGGGGGGACCTGATGAGAATCTGCCAAGACTGAATCTAGCTCACTTGGTACGTGATGTTTGCTTAAGGTGTGCCAAGCTGTTCTTGCTTTTGAGTTTACTGTAATTTCCTTTGTTTAATCTGCATTACAAAATAGTCATATGTCTCCAAAAGATTTACTTGGATTAAGTGCTGGCAGTCAACCTGCTGCTTCCATTTTCTTTGTTTCTTAAAAGGGGGCTTTAACAGCTGTGAATCATAGAATTCTTTGGGATTCCCTTTTTGTTGATTGCCATTTGTCCTTAGGAACTGTGGCCCAAGCAAAGAAATGTTTCTAGAAAAGAAAGATTAATAAAGAGTTGACTCAGAATTACCCACAGTTTTATAAAAAGCACAATAAACATATGATAAATCTCAAATGAATTTGTGCTAGAGAAATTTAATGCTTGCAAGTATGAAGGTGCTTAACATTCTTATTTTATTTAATTAATTTTAAATTTGATGTTACAATGTGAAGACTTATTTTATATTGAGTCTGAGAAACATTTAATGTGATAACCTCTGAACCTCATCACTTAGTTTTCAGGTAGAATAAGAAAGCATGTTGTTTCTTATTCAAAGAAGTGAATTGTGCAAATATTTGGGTCTATTTGAGATCGTGTTTCTCAATCTCAGCATCTTTACAATGTGTAGTCTTTGATTCTCAGAAATCCCCAAACCAATCCAAAAAATACTGATTTAAGATACTGAACACAATTTAACAATTGCTATTGGTATGATTAAATGACTGCTTGCTACCAAAAAATGAACTAAAGGAGTGTCAGAAAAAGAATTGCTGATGTTTCATTAGTTGCTTTGCATGTAACCCACTCTGATATTTGCTGGATTCAATAGTTATATACTGTATATTAAAGAAATTGAGCACTTTTATAAAATCCATAAATTTTGCTTTACTATTGTTATTTACTCATAGATGAATAGGTCCAAAGTCCTTTATTACTGGGCTTTATTCTTTATGCATAAATATCTTAGATCTCATCAAACTGTCCTTTCAATTTACTGGTTTTGTCCTTATCCTTAAGAACTTTACCCTTTTTGTCACCTGATACCTTTCAGAATATTCTTTTCATGTGTCACTTACCAAAATAAAACTCCCGTAACCTCATTTAACAGTAACCCCACTGGTCACTTTAATATCCTAAAATGTGAATGATGGAGGATATCTACCATCACTGTGAAATAATGGTTGTCTGATAAAACGGATACATAGCCCACAGGCTGCTAATTGGTTATTTTAAGCTGTTTTCTAAAAGACAGAACAACCACTAAACATGTCTTTGAAATTGGATGCAGAAAGATCAAATTGTGTCCTAAAATTTCCTCCAGCCAACCAAACTCAGGGTTCCTATCAAAGGGTGTTGTAAATTAGCACAATAAACAT